TTGCACAAGCTTACTATGATTTATATGATAATTTGAGTGATGCTCCACCTGATCAAAAAAATTATTTTGGTCTTCGAGATTATTATTCACTGATCAAAAGTATTGTTCGTAATTTAATGGAAACAATAGAAAAAGTAGATATCTATGAAATAATTCGACGACAACTTAAAGTTAATTTTGATGGTTCATCACTTTGATGGGAACATTTTTGTCAATATATGAAAAGAGAACATCTCTTTAACGATTATATTTGTCCATCATTTAATAATCTTCTTGATCAAGCATTAAAAAATCGATCCAGTCGATATTTAATGTTGATTGCTGATAGTGAAAGTACTATTGATTATGTTGAACATTTTATTAATGTTCATCAACGAAAACATCATATAAAAGTACGTACTATTGTCGGTAATTATTTTTCAGATGATCTACTTCGAGGTAATACCTATTCTGAACATTATAATTATCGAATCTTAATGGATATTATTCTTTATGCTGAAACAAATATAACATTAATTATGCGTCAAATGGATCATCTTTATGATAAGCTTTATGATCTTTTTAATCAAAATTTTGCTATTTCCGGAAGACAAAAGTATTGTCGAATAGTTTTAGGTGCTCGCTATTATCCACGTTGTTTAATACATGATAATTTTTATTATATAGTTTTTATTCATAAACGAGATGAAGATAAATGTGATCCACCATTTCTTAATCGTTTTGAAAAACATCTCATTGATATTCAAACTTTAATTCATCCTCGACATCAATTAATATATGATGAACTTTATATTTGGTTAAATAAATTTTTACCGAAAAATATTGGAAAAAATTTTCCACTTTTTGAACATTTATTTGTTGATTATAGTCAAGATCGAATATATTTTTTAATTATGGAAATCTTTGAACAACTTAATATTTCAATCGATGATCAAAAAACTGATGAAATTATAAAACATTGTCAAACAAAATTAATGCGTACTAGTTCATTAGATTTACCATTAGTACTTTCATTAGAACCAAACTGGTAAGAATCAAACTTTGATTGATCAATACTATATTATATTCATCGATCGTTTACACTTGCAACAATGGTACAACAAGCACTTGAAAATGATCATATTTCTCCACAGATTATTTACACTTATATACAAATCTTTTATCGAATCGAAACATTACCAAATGGTGTTAAAGAAATCAATTTAAGTACATTTAAAACAGAACTTGAATTAAAAAATAAAATTAAAGATCATTATCAACAATCAAATACGATTCGTTTACTTTTAATTCGTGTTGATTATCATAAAGAACATCAACATATTCTTTCATTAAAACATGTTCTATTGAATGAAAGTATATCTAAAAGTAATCGAGATATATGGCTTATACTTTATTTACAACGTAATCTAATTCATCAGACTAGAAATGATATTTTGTTTAGTGATTGAAAAACTTCATTCATTTCTTAGTTTCATTCGTTGTCTTGCTGTTCTAATTATTATCAGATAAAGCTTTTGATATGTTCAAACAAGGATTTAATGAAAAATTTGATTCATGTCAACCAATTCATCAATATGTTATTCAGTTACGAAATTTAATTCGAGCGCAAGGATCCATTGATCAAACATTAACAAAACTTGAAATCGAATTATTAAAAGATTGGTTAGCCAATAATGAAGATTCTTATGTTGAAGTTTTAATTTTATTGATCGAAAATTTGATTTAATATCAATATTAAAACGAAATCATGGAAAACTTCCATGCATTGAATCATTCATTGAATAGTATCGATCATGTTTCATATAAATTTGAAAGATTATTAGTCAATCAAATTCATATAAATTTTATGCGATCAACTTCTGATGATGAAATCGATCAACAACTTATTGATCATTATGAAGATTTTCAAGAAAATCTTTATAGGATACAAAATATGAATAATACAATCGATTTTCAATGGATCTCATTGCTTGTTTGGTTAAAATATTATGCACAGATCTATGCCATTGCTTTAAATAATGAGAGTCATCGATCTGTTATGTCAAGAATAGATCGACTTTTAACTAATGTTGATTCTCCATTCAGTTCAACGTTGAAATTATTTATTTTCAAGCAACTTTGACAAATTTCAGAATTAACTCTAGATGATTATTGTGATAGATATAGTTATCGTAATCTTGATTGAATTAAAGATTTTCTTCAACTAGTACAACATAGTCAACAAAACCTTCGTTTACCTATTCCATTGTTTGAATGTCGAGAAGAATTTCAACGCTTTAATCAAATTCTTCATCAAAATGATAAGATTGATGATCTACGTCAATTAGTTCATGAGTGTAATCGATCACAAAATCTTAGTTATAGTTTTCTATGTTGGTTTATTCAATATTATTGCCATTTTATGCAAGTTAACAGTAAAGCTAATGAGAAATTTGTTCATTTGATTGAAAATGATTTACAACAAGAAATTATCGAATCATTCACATGGTTAGATTCAAAATTACTTATTTTTTTGTGTAAAATTTTTTGGAATACTTCCTATTTTTATCTTGATTCGACTATGTCATCAATGATATTCATAAGCGTTTACTTGCTCTCAATATTATTGCTGTATCGATCTCTTGTAAATCCCAACCCGAAATGAATTTCCTTCCGAATCTTCTATTTAATAATCAACGCAAAATACCTATGAATTATATACAACATATTTCGAATGTTTGCTTACCTGGTCTTATGATTAGTGCGATCCTATTATGATACAAATGATGCATGTACGAACACAAGTTCAAGATTGTCTAAAACAAAGACTGATTCATGATGAAGAAAGAGTTATTGTTCAATGTACACAATTTTGTCCTTGGATATTCTTTTTGCAAGATGGCAATGTTTGCCATAATTCAAATATTTGTCCACAATGTCAAAAACCGATTGGTATTACCGAAAACAATATTCTTATTTAACGTGATTCTCCACAAATTCAAATGTCTATTAATGAAACCTTGAAAATGATCGATCAATATAATCAGAGAGTTCGTCTTGGATATCAAAATGTTGAAACATCTGAAAATAGTATGTTCGAAGAAAAACCTGAACATTTACGCCGATCCATATCGTTTCGATTCTTACATTTTCTTACACGAACTCAATTATTTGACTGATCAAGATATAAAAGAATATCTTAAATTATCAACTGATGCACATTTTCGTTATCATTTTGAAAAAGACTACGAAATTCTCTCTCAAATATTTACAGATAATCGACAATGTTGTATTTGACTTTATAAACTTCTTAATCATCTTGTTAATGATGAGTTTGTACAACAAGCTTCAATAAATACTAAAGAAAATATTTTTGAGTTTGAATGTATGATTGAAGAAAACTCATTTTGCCACATATTAACTCAATCACTAATGAAATTATTGATTATAAACAATCATATGCTCAAGTGTTTCATAAACCTCATACTTAACCATCATTGGAAAGTTTTATTAATGAAATTTTTCAAGATGAGCAACAATATTCATTGTTAAATTTTTTTAATGTAACTACATTTTATAAATTGGATCCTTTGGATGAATTTATCTTTAAAATACAATCAATTCCATATACGGAAAATACATATCCAATTACGGCATTTATTCTTCAACATCTCGATGATTATAGTAATATTCAACATACTTATCCTATTATTATTTTTACCAATTATCTTATTGAAAAATTTAACTATCGAATCAATCGAAATGATGCAACTGAAAAGAAAATTCTCTGTTATTTAACTAAAGATAAAGATAAACATAGAACAAATCAACTTTATAATGACTTTTTACATGCTTGATATTCATTAAATTTAAAAGAAATTCATCATGGTAATCAAATAATAAAATTCGAAAAGACTATTTCAAAAGAGAAATTTGCTAAAAGTGCAAGTATAAGTGCTCTTCTATTCAATACATCAAGTAATGAAAGTAATCTTTATCTCACTTCATGTCTCAAAACACTTGCTGAGTTATAAAACGAAATCGTTATTTACTTTCATGATACTATCGAACTTAGTATTTAAAAAAAGACTGAACAAAAACGTATACCACTTCAATCTATTCGATTGGAACAGATTCTTCATCTTAATCGAAATAGACTGAGTAAAAAGTTAAGTGATGATTGTCTTGTTCTTAATTATCAATATGGGAAAGGGTCGAGATATTATTTATGATTATGATGAAATCGAAATCTATCTACGAAATAGGATCAGTTCATTAATTTTGATCGATACAGATCGATTCCGTTGTGTCAATTATCAATTTGACTTGTACGGAGAAAATACATCGTTGACCAATGATGTTCGTGTGAGAATCAAACAAAAAAGATTATCTAATGATAATCGAAATAAATTACAAAATCTCATTATCGGAATGAATAATGATGATATGCTCATTTATCTTGGTTCACTCAATTATGTTTTTACTTATTTATTGATACAATTCTGTATCGAGAGCCATTTTCTACAGTTCAATTCCAATATATTATCAATTTATATGAAATAGTTGAAGAAAGCGTTTTCGACCGAGCTTTACGTGCTGATGTTAAAGCTGAACTTCAGAAAACAACATTTACTGATGATGAGTGTCAACGTGTCATCAAACAATTTTCACATGATGCATTTGAAAAGCAAACTATTTCTCCTTTGTTGAAAAATATTGATAGATGGATTTCGATGCTCAAACGTTTGATGATACGCATTCTAAATGCGAATATCGAACTTGATGAACGATTACAAGTCTATCTTGAACGAACATATCTGTGGAGTGATCCTATTACTGATGCTGATCTAGCAATTTTTCAAATTGATAATGATATTTTACATCGACATACCTATGTGATCCTATATGCTTTAGAACGAAAGCAGTATAAGAGTAATAGAGTTCCGTTGCCACAGAATAAAGCAACGATGTCAAGTATTGATGAACAACAACAAGAAGTTCAAGCGCGGTCAACTGCAATCATTAGATCAAGAATCACTCCAAAAGTAATCAATGACAAAAATCGAAAAATTTGTGTATAATATTGTATTCATTTTTTTTCTAAACAAATGCAGATTAAAAATTAAAAAAAAACCAAAGAATGGTTGCCCGAATCCATTACAGATCTGTATACTTAAGTTCTTCAGCAAACGGGAACTTAGATGTTGTGTGAGTTCAGTTAGTTCATTATACATATGAGTTCTTTGCTTTACTATTTGGTTGAATAGCCATATTATCATATGGACAATGAAGTGTCTGCAAATAGTGTGCTGAAAGGAATAAAAACCTATCCTATGATGATTGTCGAACAACAATATTTCGTACAATGCGCACTTGCACTGTATAAATAAACAGAATCACACTGACTAATATTATGATGAGAATGAAGATACGAATTGAAATTCGTTCGTTTTTCATATCATTCACTAATGGCGGCATTCTAGAAAGAAACAAATAGTATATGGAAATGCATGGTTGCCCTTCTCTGTTAAAAAAGTCTACTTTGAAAAACTTTGCGACGATGATATATAGGAATATAAACTTACTATACATCACAAACACATATTGAATGAGTTTCGCAAAATACAGCTTCGGATTTATCGCGATAGCGATATATTTGAACAAAATTTTCGATTTGATCTAATCTCAGATGGATACGCTCTTTGCTAGTCACTATTGAAAATTACTTTATAAATAAATTTCAAGTTTCGAAGATCGTGACAACATAAAAATCACATACAGTTAACAATAGTCAGCGATCAATCGCGTCGTCCAAATTTGACTTGAGATGAACACAGTTTTATATAAAACAAATGAAAAAAGAAACCTATCTTTTGAGTAATCGAACATCGTAGATAAAGTTTCAATAAACTATGGACCATGGTTTACTATAACGATGCTTCACACAGTGAAAAGTCAATATAGAATACTGTTTTTAAAAAAATGGATTGAGTGAAACAATCATACTTTGCCTTTTTAAATAGAAAAGAGCAACCCAAAGTGCTCATATACTATTTTTTGTTCTTTTTAGAATATCACAGAAACCGTTTCTTTTTTAGTTATTTATTTATAATACCTAAGAGTGTAATCAAAAAGATAAAAATTTAATTGATTTAGTTGATGAATGAATTCTTTTATAATTAACTATGAACGAAACCTAAACAAATTACAAGTATACAATGGAATTTTTATATACTCCATAACATCTGCTTGCAATGGAAATGTTAGAATAGATTTTTTGTGAATAAAAACTTTCGATGCAATATTTATTCATTCTGTTTGAAAATAATCTAGTATCAATGATTCACCACAAATAGTCTATATAGAAAGGAAAAAAAAAACAATTCAAATAACATACGCGATCATTCTGCTTTGTACATAAAGAATAACGAACAAACATGTACACGTTTTATTCTTTAGATCATTCCTTCTAGATCAATTTTTATATTAAACATATCATTCGTATCAAGAAACGTAAGTGACAAAGAGAAGAAACAATTTTACTAATATTAGATTTTATTTAGTATGTCGATAAGTACAATTGAAAATTTACCTAATGAAACCTTTTATGAAGTCTTCGATTATTTCGATGCTACTGAAATCTATCATTCATTTTCAAATCTCAATCATCGTTTTCATCAATTAATTAATTCTTCATCACTTCTATTTAAAATAAAACTTGATTATTCAAAATCAAACGAAATCTTCATGAATAATTACCAAAAAATTATACTTTACAATAAAGATCAAATATTATCAGTTCATTTATGGTCAACAGAAAATACTAATGAAATTATTTCATCCATTATTTTCGATTCATCATTTAATTGTCTTGAATCTCTTGTTTTTTATACAATTGAATCAGATGTATTAATTTCAGTTCTTCCAAAATTAACTTATTTATCTCGTCTTTTATCATTAACAATCGATACATGGTCTAATCTAAAAGATCTTGCTGATATCTATCGATTAATTTTCAACTTACCAAAATTAAAATATATCAAATTTACAGCAATGGAATCCAAAGATGACGATATAACTATCTCATTACCAATTGCTACTAGTGAACAAATAAGTTCTATCGAACATCTGATTATGGATCATCCTTGTGCTTTCGACGAACTTATTGCTATAATATCTTATACTCCTCATCTTCGTCGTTTAAAATTTTTGAGTTTGACTAATCGAAATGTAAACATTAGAAGTATTAAACCAATGATATTACCAAATTTAACACATCTTTCTATTCATATATATAAAGAAATACCATTTGATGAATTTGAAATATTTATTAATAAATTAAATTCGAAAATAAAAGTTTTATCATTGACGACAATAGTTGAAGATATGGCTTATCTTGATGCTAATCGATGGGAAAAATTTATTTTAACAAAATTACCTCAATTAGAAAAGTTTTATTTTAAATACAGTGCATATTTTTCAGAAGATTATCAAACTCCTATATATTTTGGACAACGCGATCAATTTATTTCATCATTTTGGCTTCAACGACGATGGATATTAGATATTGAAATTGACTTTGAAAATATAATTTACTCAATCCGTCCATATCAGTATATCAAAAAGAAGTTTTTAATATTAAATAATTTATTTTAATTTTTATTTTAGAAAAAGATGGTATGAATATGATACACAACATAAGATGATTAATTCTTCTGATCAATTATCTAAATCTATTCGACTTAGTCTAGATGAAGTATGTCCTGAACGATGGACAAAGACAATATTCATAAATGATTATATTAATCATGCTTTAACTATAACACAAATTTATCATTTAGAAATTTATGCAAAAATTTTTTGCGATAAATTAATGGAAATATTATATTTATTACCGGAAGTTATTACATTAAAAATTTTTTCTTTACCAATTTTACAACAAGGAGATTTATCAGAAGAGGAAATCGAATTTCTTCGTTTTCTATCAAATAAAAATCAAATTAGAAAAATTTGTTTTGAAAATATGAAAGACATGGATGAACTTTTTATGTTATCTTTGATTTGTTCTCGTATTAATCATCTTCAAATAAAATGTGTTAATTATATGCATGCTGAATTATTAACAGGACTTATTTTAACACAAATTAGGAGCGTATCCAATTCTTCACTTCGATTATTATGTTTTTGTATTCCAGAAGCAAATGATGATATGATTGAAAAATTAGAAAAAATGATTGATGTTGAAAATTTACGTTTTGATTTTATAATTAAACATGTTACAGATAAAATTTATTTACAATGGAAATGATTAGTAGATTATTTGTTATAATTAGTCTTATATGATATTGTTTGATAAAAACTTTTTGAATATCTTGATGGTTATAAAATATTTAAAGCGTTTTCAAATCTTAATCATCGATTTCAACAACTCATCAAATTTTTATCTCTTCTATTTAAATATAACTTTGATTGTAGTCTTGATTTTTTTCATAAACATTGTTTTGTCGTATGTATACGTCAATAACAATTAAAAGGCTAATAATAAACACCGAATACTTTTGTTTCATATATCGTTACCATTACAAAAAAAAAGTGAATTTTTCTCGTCATTTGATTGTCTTGAATCACTTGTTATTATTGAAATTCAATTAAAGGGTATGGTAGGTGTGGGTGTAGGTGCGTTTCAATAAGTAATCTACACCCACACCCACACCCCGCAACCCAGTTATGGACAAAAGGAAACAAAATGTTTTAGAATAATTTTCAAGACTAACTTTCGTTCATATCTTAGATGATGACTAAACAGCTGTTTATACGATTTATTCGCAGTTTAGATGAAATAATTAATAAAAAGAATATTTTATGTAAGTAATTTGTTTCGATACAAGACTACATCTCAATTAACCTCAGATTGAAATAATATTTTATACTATTTCTCAAGTTTGTATTGTTTGTAGGCAGATAAATATTTATTCTATGAAAAAAAATTACAATGTATAGAATCATTATCATTGATGCAATCAAAACAACTTATTAATATAATTCATTATTTATATGATTGTCGTGTTATTCATCGTGATATAGGTCTACAAAATTTAATGTTAGATCGTGATAGTAATCATATAAAATTAATTGATTTCGGTTTTGCCATTGCATTTAATACGAATAACAAGGGAGGAAGCATACAAATAATAGGTCCATTTACATATGCTAGAGTACTGCAACCCGACCCGACCCGCACCCGAGCCCGACCCGCGGGTGCGGGCGGGTTCGGGTTCAATCTTATCGGGTCGGGTCGGGTACGGGTCTGTCAGCCGTCGGGTCGGGTCGGGTGTGGGTTTGAAATTAAAAAATGTCGGGTTTTTATCGGGTCAGCTTTTTTGCGTATGTATGCTTCTGCCCTCTATTTTCGTTCGTCTTACACTCACAGAATAATAAAACTCAATTCTATTGGCCAATGATTCTCAGAGTCTAATGAAATCAGAACGTAATGCTGTTATTAAAAATATACGAATACTTTTAAAAACTCTAGGTATAGATCAACAAGTCGATGAAGAAACAACAGAGACAGGTACCAACAACAATTCCTTAACACATCAAAAACGTATTAAAATAGACACTGTACACGTTGTTCTCAAGTCTTTTAATGCATTTGTAGACTCATCATCAGACGATGATGATAAGAGGCCGATGGATAAAGTAGATGATTATATTAAAGCGAAAATATCATACCCAAAAGGAGAATCACTTTTACAACGGTGGTAAAAACACTCTATCATATACAAAAAGTGAGTTTCTTGATTACTATATCATTCTCCTTAAATGCACAAGAAAAATTCAGTAAATTAATTTAAATTTGATTCTCCTTAGGTTATCATTATTGGCATGTTCTCTCTTAGCAGTACCTTCAGGTTCTGCTGTATCTGAAAGAATATTCAGTAAAACAGGTCGGATTCTTGAAGTTCGACGTCAACAATTATCACCAGAATCACTTGACTCTCTTATTTTTTTACGAAATTTTTCAGTTGTTTTGTATAAATTGAAGATATATTATTGATATTTCTACGATACTTATTGTTATGATCATTATCGATCTTAACTGTTTGAAATGTATGTATTTGAATGGAAATGTGATCATACTAAGTTGTGATGGTTTTTTTTTGCAATCATGATTATCTATGTGTTTTTTATTGCTATAAAGCTTCTATCATTTTTTATGCTTAATATTGCAATAAACTGATGTATCTTTATAAAATAAACGAATTTAAATCTCTCGGGTCGGGTCGGGATCGGATTCAACTATCCTCGGGTCGGGTCGGGCTCGGGTCGGGCTCGGGTTGAACCTTGTCGGGTCGGGTCGGGCTCGGATTGAGCCTTGTCGGGTCGGGTCGGGCACGGGTACGACTAAAAGACCTCGGATCGGGTGCGGGTTCGAAAAATCAAACCCGCGCAGGACTCTAACATATGCCAGTGAACCATTTTTAGATTTATGTTCAAAATTATTAAAAAGTCAGCGTTTCCCATATTATTTCTATGAACGAAGTTTTGATTTAATATGTGCATTAAATATTATAATGATCATTAGTAATGCTGATATCGAACGAAGTATGAATGCAATTAAAATATTACCAGATATTAACGAGATAGTATCAAAGTCATTGCAATTATGGAAAGATACTAAACGTACAAATAAACATTATTCAAATTTATTGAATTTAATAGACAAGCTGAATTCATGGTATTCATTCGACAAATCATCAGTTTTTGATATTTCAAACGATCAATCAGTTGAATTAGATCAACCATCGATTTCTAATGCTTCAAAACACCAATCAGATCAATCAGCAATTTTTGAGGTTATAAAAGATGAAATAGAAAAGCTTTTCGATTTGTGAACAACACTATTCATGATTTTTTTCTATATAACATGTTCATGTCATTCATATAAAAATTTCACATAATACTTCTCATTTATATTTTTCCATTCATTTCTTTATTTTATTTTTTTATTTTGATCTTTATCCATATATAAACAATCATAGTCATAAAAAAAACTAATTTTTTCATTTATTAAAACGCGTTTTTTTTAAGATAAGAAAGCTGTATTCTATAGACGGCCATAGTCAATACTAGTGTCCGGGTGTGGGTGTGCTAACCAAGAAGGCATACACCCACACCCACACCCTTACCATGAAAAATTTTTATAATAACAAAAAATCTTACGAACATGAAATCAATCATGAACATAGATTCTAAAAAATGCACTTTCAGAAATATGATTAGCAAAACCCAAATACCTTTAATTTTAATTGAAAATAAGTATATCTAGCCGTGTAACGATGTACCGCAAGGAATAATAGAAAATCAGTATGAATTCAGTAGCTAAAAGATTCGACCTAATAGAATGAATGCAACGCGAAAATACTGCATATGTAACTTCGTGAGATGAAAGATTCAGAATTAAAACAAAAACAAAGTATTTCAAAATAACAAACTAAGCTGAACAAGAAGAATTTATTGAGAGTAATTATCGAAAAAAAATCGACAGTTGAAATGAAGAAAGAACAATCGTGATAAGCAAGCAAATGATATGAAAAAATAACATGCAGAGAAGTAACTACTCAAGAAATCGCTCTGATATCTGACCGAAATAAATCTAGTAAATACGATACTCATGATGATAATATGACGATTAAAACAAACATGCAGGTTAAATAAATCAGTTGAAAGATTGAATCTGATGAGAAAAATCTAACAAGCAAACATTAAAATACATTAAACAATGAGCTCCTAGCAACGGAGCCACTATGACAACTATGCATATTTTGCAAATGATCATTATGAAAAAGCACATTAAGGAGTCACAATCATTTGAACAAGATCAAATCAGTTGTATGGTTTATTAAGGAGGCCCCCCCTCAGAAAAATCAATTTAGATCAAATTTATTGATTTTGTGATTTATAACTCATTAGATAGAGCAAAGTGTCTACTCTCGAATGCACTACAGTTGATTGATTTTATCATGAGATTTAAAGATATTTCATAGATTTTTCTGAACCCCTCTATTGAAAATAATAAGGTTTTTAAAAACTTATTCTCCGTTTTTCTCAAAATCAATTTTTTCGAGTATACCGTTTACGCGGGCAAACCTTTCTTAATAATGACTCAATATAAGAGTGGTAATTTTTTTATTGCATAGAAGACAGGTGGGACTAGGTCGTAATAGAGTCCGATTTTTGAATTTCTCTTTTGCTGAAATAAAAAACTTAGATATTTCATTTTCATGAGCACTTTTTTGGCCATGAAGTTGAAAATTTTTCGAAAAAGTATTTTTAAAAATCAAATAAAGGGAAATTCAAAAATCGGGTCCTAGTACGACCTAGCCTTAGGGGCACTCTACAATTTCATAATCTATTCTAGCCAAGACTAACATTCTCTGAAATTTTGCTTGAAATCGGATGAAAAATAACAAAGTTGGTTTCTGAGAGGGGGGGGGAGGGGCTCTTAAGTAAATAAAAATATTGTCAATTTTATTATGCATATTTAGTTTTTATTTTTAAAATGACAAAAAGCTGTAGCAGTTTCTTGTTATTCTAATTACTAAAAAACTTTCAGATGTTTTAATTCAGTAGTTAATCAAATAGACCAAAACCCATATCTTCACAGTCACAATCTTCCTTTAAGAAAGCGTGATGTTCATATCCTTTAGAAATAATTTTTCTGTCGACTGTTTCATCTTTAAGTTTATTCTTCATATGTTCAGCCATTCGAAGTAACAACGAAATTATTCCTCGCTGATCATCAAATTGTTCAACATCTTTAAGTAATGCAATTTGTTCATCAACAAGAACAATAGCTTCTTTTCTGTGGCCATCGTTCACTAACTGTGCAATTTTCTTATCCATATCAGCAACTATTTGAGTAGCATACATAGTTTTCACACGAGGATCAAGGTCCATAATAAGTGACTCATCTTCTACAAACTTTAATGATAAAGTATTTTTTATCGCTGTCGGTGCACCATTGAGATCATTTGGTTGATTATATCGTAATTCATATGTAAGTACTTCAACTTCAGTATTTGCTGATCCAGAAGTTGTAAATTCACAAAGAACTGATCGTAGATTATCTGAATGGAGATCACCAAGACTTGCACCAGCAACAATATCTTCATGACCCCATATCTTCGTAACAACGGCTCCATTTTTTCCACGTACTATAAGACGAGCTCGTGATGCACATACACCAAATACACAGACAAGTGCTTTAGTAACAAGGAATTCAATCATTTCAGGCGATGAAAGAAAGTAAAATCTTGATCCACCAGCATCAGCAATACCTTTCATAATGACGCTATCAAAGTCAGCGCCAATCCCAAATGAGTCAGTTATAATGCCTTTAGTATGATATCCAGCGACGAGATTTGTTAATTCAGGGCATGTTTTCATTCCAACATTAGCCTGTCCATCAGAAAAGAGAAACATACGACGCGAAAATCCATTATATACATATTTATCCAGGAGGCCAGCACCTACATCAATACCACCAGACATGTTTGTTGAACCAGCACTTTGAATTTTGTCTACAAGAGGATAAAGATACTGACGAGAATATGCTCGTGCATTTTCAAAGATGATAGATACATCAGCATCATATGCAACAAGATGAACGACATCATCATCGTGAAGAAGATTAAGAACCGAAATCACAGCTTTTTTTGCAAACGTTAATTTATTGTCTGATTCCATGGATCCGCTACGATCAAGAATAAGTACTAAATTCAGTGGTGTTCGTTTGGTTGTTTCTCCTTTGCTTCTTGTTTCAATGTCGAAACGAACCTTTTTTGTATTTAAGACGCCAGAAATAGCATGTGGATTATCTGGAATACATCGAATTTCGACATCAGCTAACTCAACATTGGTTGTCATATTGATTCGGTATACTAGAAAGAAATTTACCGTACATGTCAATAATAAGTTCAAAAATAGATTGAACGTACTTTTAAATTTAATGAATAGTTGATCGTTTTTTCGATAGTTAAGTAGTAGCAAACAAACTGCCTTTATAAAAAAGAATGCATTGGCATTTTATACGTCGAACAAAACACGATAGTGTTGTGCAATATTTGTTTTCTTGAGTCACGTTATTTTACAAAGAAGAACAGAATGTGTTAATCATTGAAATACTATTACGAAATTACATAACCTGAAGATGCAGCGCAAAAACAAACGTGGAATTGAGCACGTAGGTGTGAATAAGCGTCAATGTTAGAGAAAACGTAATCGGAACCATACCATACCTGATGAGGCATTTTACTATGTATTCATGAAGTAAAACTTTTGATACTAACAATAGAGATTTTTGTGTTGATAAGTAGGAAGATGGTATATATTCAGGTCAAATGAAAGCTCTTGCTGCCAAACTAACAAGATTAAAAGATTAGCGCTTGTTGGCTTAGTTAAAGGGAGATATTCGATTTGTACGGTACTCACAATTTGGGTACATAGGAACATTAGGTAAAAGTCATCTTTGCTGTCGAAGGTTCGAAGGGAAAAGGTGTTACGTGAAAGAGCGTAGTTAATAGTTTATGAAACAGATATTGCCAACACTACTCTACACTTCAACACTCAGCGATTTTGATGGGATTTGTTCATATAATGAAATTGTAAAAAAAACATATACATTTGGTCGTTGCCGATTGAGTGTAAATAACAAACAGTCAAATGAATACTTTTTTACTAATTTGATATTAATCAACAGCTAAATATTCATTCTTTCATAATGTTACGAATACAAAACATTTCAGTAGTTTACAAATGAGATACTGTATTCTAAAATCATGCATATTTTTTGTGAAATTCCGTAATGAAATATGTTTATATTGAATTTTTTCTCTTTCATATTGAAAATGGATTTTCAAGAATTCTATCAGTCAGATGTATCTTTTGTAGGACTATCAAATGAATCGATCTTCTTGAAACTTTACTTGAACTTTTGTGAACTTTTTAAAAAAATACTCCGTTATGGAATTTCATTAAAGGAGAATTGTTTCACAAAAAAAAGGGCGACGGTTTCACTATTTTTCATTTTAAGAAATAGAACCAAATAACACTTGTATATTGATGGGGATACTCTTGTGAAATTTTTTCTCAGGTCAGAATTTTGAAAGTTCGACTATATAATTTTTGGTGTCTGTGGTAGCTCTCAGGAAACGAAAAACGTTTTTGGTCTTCAATTTGAAAATTTTGTATTTGACTTCATAGAATTCATTGCACTGATCACGAATTTAATAATTTTATTGAAATTTAAAGGCTTAATATGAAAGATATGAAGACCTCTCTGATTCAAATCTTCATACGACGATTCTCGAGATACATCATCGTCAAAAAATTATGAAGTCGGTTTTCAAAGCTTCTACCTAAGAAAAAAAATCTCAGAAGACTGTCCTCATAAATGCCCAAGTGTTATTTGGTTTCGATTTCGATAAATGAAAAATAATGAAACCGCTACTACTTCTCTTATTCGAGGTTAAACTACATACTATATGTAGAAATAAAACTGATTGAAATAGGGAAGTAAAACATGTGATTCAAACAATCACAGATCTGAATATAAGTAAATCTACTTATAGTTCATTCTACTTTAGAGTTTTAAGTTATAAAATCTTTCACATTGCAACGTTTTAAAAAAAGATGAAATTCCGTAACGAGTGGCATTCTTAGATTTTTGTTTAAGGGGAGCCCCTCCCTCGGAAAACCCAATTTGTTTTCAAAATCTCAAAACGAAGCTTTTACCATAGGAAGATGCGCCAATGTCTCACCTTCCTGAATATATAGTCTTTTGCAGAAATGTTTCATTTTGACAGACTTATTTAAAAAAGACGTGAGACCCTTCAATTATGTTTTATGAAAATTCTCGTACTTTTCGTAAACAAAAGGTTGGCAGTTATTGACATAGGCCGTCTTCGAGAAACTCGATTTCTTTGATGTAAAACTATCATATAAGATGTGTCAAAAGCATGTCTTGACAGAATTAGTCATATAACTATTTTCTATACACAAGTTCACTGTAGTATTCAAAAGCGACCACATATACATTAAACTGAACTATTGATGACAATTATCTATTTTGTTTGTGGTTCATTACGTGAGCTATTAGGCTCATTTTCATATGGATGAATAGCGTTTTCGAAGCGCTACAAAATGATATAAAAATATCCAGGAAAAAACGATGATGAGTCGTAGCAAATTTGACAACACTGTTCTCGACCCATGATTTTGATCCTTTTCTGAGTAATATGATATTCGAAATCAGCATGAAAAACTAAATGGGAATATTTATATTTCAAAAGTTTTCAAAAAAATTTTATTATCAACAAAAATTCTCTCTGGTCCCCCAAAGGATTAGGTATGGTGAAAAAATCATTTTCGTCCCAAAGTTATTTAGACACTGGTAATCAATTTATAATTCTATAAAACGCTATTAGAACTTCAAATAGTAGATGATTAAAGAATGAAAGCAAAGTTTTTTGTAGAATTTATTTTCCGACTAGAGCCTGAAGGGGACCAGGGCTGAATTTTTCGATGAAAAACAAAAATTTTGAAAAGATTTGAAATATAAATAATATATCCATTGAACCTAATTAGATGAAACTATAAACGGAAGAATGAAGAGCATGACACCATGCGAACCAAAGTAAAGCACTAAACCTTAATAACAAATATATAGAAAGTGCTTAGATTGTCATCACAGCAAATTATTAAACCAGAAAATAATATAACTGGCATAGAAACCATTGTTTACTAACTGACTTAGATTAAAGAGAAAAAATAAAAACATTATTCCGACCAACATAACGGATTGAATAAAACGAAGGGTGAAATGAGCTAAGAAAAATATTCTATTGTAAATTTACCTTTTAATCATTTTTGTATATGGATATACTTTCAAGCAAGAACCATGTTGATAACAACAGCAAGCCTTAAAAGCAAACCATTCAAAATAGTAAGAATGCCTTGAAAGTATGTTAGATCAAAGAAAACTGTTGTAATGTGGATGTGGGTCATATAGTACAATGGTGAATGCAGAAGGTCACAAAGACCATCCATTGGACAGTGCTAATCATGTTATCATATAGAAAGCATAGGCATTGGAACTTACACACACATCTTTATCTTTTTCATATCAACAGAGTAGATTGACTTGTGTTGCTTTCGTCATGATTTTGTTTCTCTATCGATACAGTGACTTTTAATGAATGATAGAACTATTAAAACCCATAATCATCTCGAAGCCGAGTGAAATTTACACTTGAGGGTACGTATCAAGGCATGATACTCCAAGTCACACCCATACTCGCCATTTTTATTTTTTAATGTGTGAAATTTTTTTTATACAATCCTTTTATTTTTTTTTTAATTTTCAAAATTTATTTTCATTTTTTAACTTTTTTGTTTTTTCACTTCATTTTATTGCAACGTTTGTTGATTCTAATTTACAAAAAGACATGAATAAAATAAAACTCTCGTTGCATATGCATTGTAATTTTATTGTAATGAAGCAAAAATGGGAATACCTCGTGAATATTCGAATTAAGACAACTTTGGCTTCAGATGATATTAAAATGCATCAACAATCAAACATCTTGATTATTTTGACTTTCGATAGCTGTAGGAATTATTTGACTAGGTCAAAAGTGTTTTAGAATGACAAAAACGTTCAAACGTGTCAGAAACTATGGTAGATTTCGAGTGTATGCAGCTGATATGGATGAATGGATATCTCAGATCAAGTTTTTTTTTCTTTTTTTCGAGCACTAGATGGTTACAAAAGCTTATCAAGCATCATATCTGCATTCATCAAGAGGAATTTTTGAATCTGTTAATGACCAGAAATTATTATCAGGTTTGTTCATCTATTTAATAGATTTTATTCTTTCAAAACTTTTTTGTTGGAAAAATTAAATGTCGAGTTTGTGCACATTTTCTCTTCTTTGAGAAAGAAAAACAGAATGATTAATGAGAAATAAATACCCATTTTACTTTGTCTACATCGTAGACAGAGAATCAGGATAAGACTTGAACCGTCTATCAAAGCGATTATCCACAATCTTTTTGATGATCTTCCAATTCGTGTAATATATGATGTTGTTTTGTGATGAAAAGAACAGCTTGTTTTCACCAAAATTTATGTTACACCTATTTGCCTCTTCGTAAATGCCACTTCTGCATTAAAAGCTTTTTTATAGAGTTGGAATGTCAGCAATATCATTAATAAAAAATGAAAAACTTCAGTTACGAAAAGTGACACAGCAACACATTTCAGACCATTGAAAAATCAAATATGATTTAGGGTGTGGGTGTCGGTGTGGGTGGGTGTGGGTATGTGAGGGTGAGGGTGAGGGTTGGGTGTGGATTTGGATATATTTACCACTCACACCCACACCAACCCACACCGACACCCACACCCACACCCACCCACACCGACACCCACACCCACACCCACATCGATCTATTTCTAGACTTATTGAATTACATTGAAACGAGCTTGCGGGATCAAAAGATTATACAGCATTCATTTAAAAAAATATTGCAATAAACCTACGAAACAAATCATGATAAACAACTTCATTAAGCCCCAAGTGGCCGCTCGACGACGCATGGTGCGGCCGCTCAGTTCAGTAAAAAGGCTTATGGAGCGGTCCATACCGCCGCCACTGTTTGAAAGTTTAACTCATGTTTTTCGCCATCGCTGGTCGATTTTTAAGGGCAGTGCACATCTCTGATAGATATCTCTGTAAAACATATATTCAATATAAATTATAATTGTATACGTGATTTTCTATAAAAACTGTGATTGAAATCCTCTTATAAGTAATGAAATAGAACTTTTCAAGCCCTACAAAATTGGTTATATTTAACAAAGTTAA